CTGAACGCGGCCAATAGGTTTGTCGCGTCGCATGCCCCAACGTGCTCCTACTCGCTCCAACGTACTCTGATTGGTCCGCGTGATGACGTAAGCCAATCCGAGTGAATTGGAACGAGTAGGAGCACGTTGGGGCACGCGACACGAACAAATCTAATGACGTAGGCCGGTATTTATAGTCGAATCTTATTTCAAGACCATCTTAAGTAATGTCTTAAGATGAGAATACGGTTCTGTGATTGGTTCATGACATCTTAAGACAGGGGAGCGGTGCACTTGGACACGATGCATTTGGACACAGCCAATCACAGCACCGTGTGATTAGAGACATTTGTAGGGTCCCTTGGAACAGCGACTTGTGATTGGACTGTGTCCAATTGCCCCGTGTCCAACTGATATACACCCTAAGACAGGGCCCTTCTTGAAATAGTTGCGTATACGTAAGTTTTACTGCGCAGCTATTTTATGGTATGATTAAACCTACGCAGTAAAACTTACGTATACGCAACTATTTCAAGAATAGGGGTCCAGGGCTGCTATTCCGTTACCATGGTTCCGATAGTTGTCGGATCAGTAGGTGTCGTTGCGCAGTTTTTCCACGGTATAAAAAGCTGCGCAACGACGCTTACCGATTCGACAACTGTCGGTATGCGGGAACGGAATAGTACCCCAGCACAGAAAACAGCTTGTAACTGTTGTAAAACTCGTAAATCTGATTAGTATATAATTATATTTATATGACGACATTAATCTGAATTAATAGTTACTGAACTTTCGAATCTGATTAGAGTATATTAAGCCAGCGGCACACGGTCTTGTTTTCATGCTGGATGAAAATACTGCGTTCTGATTAGCGTATTTCGATAGATGGATGAAAATACCAATCAGAACGTAGTATTTCTATTCAACAAGCAATCTAGCACGAAAACAAGCATCGTGTGCCGCTGGATTTAGATGTAAAAGAATATACAAATTAGATTTTAAAATTCACTAACTACCGGCCTATGGCCGGTATTCATAGTCCGATCTTATATTTAAGATCATCTTAAGTACTGTCTTAAGATGTCATGAATCAATCATAGAGCTGTATTCGCATCTTAAGACATTACTTAAGGATCTGCAGGGCTGCGATCCAAAACTCTACTCGGTCAACTTTATGGAACCCGGTTTATGATAATCGTAATCCGTTAACTTATGTCAAAACCATAAAAAATTGACCAATCATAGTCGAATTATAGAAGAATAGTTGACTGTGATTGGTCAATTTTATAGTTCCGGTATAAGTTAACGGATTACGGTCATCATAAACCAACCTTTGGTGGGAGAACAGAATAGAAGAGAGTAACGTAAAATAACCTAGCATTTTTGAACGGGAAGAGTTATCGAAAAATGATATATATAGTTGATGATATATTTAGGTTGCGTTCCGTTTCACGCATTATGCGCGCATTGCCTACAATATATGTAACATGAACTATAGATAAATGCGCGCATATGCGTGAAACGGAACGCAGCCTTAGTCTCGGTTTAATCACCGTAAGGACGTTAATACATATATCAAATGTTTGATGTAAACTAGCCCAAAAACAATCTGATACATGTACCACCCTTATAGAAATATCATACTAAGAATCATTGATAATTACTTATTATCCAGTTTTTTTAATACTGAAAATAAGTAATTATCAATGATTCTTAGTATGATATTTCTATAAGGGCAAACGTTGCCAAAAATTGCCTTATGACAAATTCCAAGAGCGAATTCAATTCTCCATTGGAAAGCTATTCTTTTATTGGATATCGGACGCGGTGTGGATCCTGCATAAGGTCCGATCTACAATAGATGGAGTAAAAAGTAGAAATAGGAGTAAGAAATAAGCAGTAAGTAAATGGACCAATCACAATCGATTATTCTTGAATCGTGAGAATGGAATTGGTCACCCAGGTAGCAAAGTGACGTCTAAAAACGTCATTAAGACGTTATTAAGACGTCTATGACGTTTTAATGACGTCTTTAGACGTCACCTTGCTACCTGGGCAATTTGCTTATTGCTTATTTCTTACTCCTACTCTTTGCTCCATCTATTGTAGATCGGGCCTAATATTAGAAGTGTATGTAACATATACTGAGTGCTTTCCAATTGCTTAACACACTTGATATACACGTACGCAAAACTAGTTTATTGGTCACATATTATCTAAAATATCTTGCAAGATAATACGCAACCAATAAACTGGTTTTGTGTAACACAGTGTACGCAACTGGAAAGCACCCACTATAGTGTTTCTAATAATAGAGTGCACCCGGGTAGTGAATCTAAACGCACCCCTGGGAAATAGATAAAATTGAGGGAATTTGTTTCTCAGCAATTCGTCATCATTATATTGGTATCGCAATGACGCAACCCCTATCGTATCCTCTAGATCGCTGGTAACTTTTCGCCGTCCGAGGGCACTCCGTCTCGTTCAGTCTCATTTCACTTTGCGTTACCGGTAAGGAAAGTCGTGAGTCTCGAGTAATGAGCGATAATTTGCTGCACATTAATTCAATTAGACTTCGCGTCGTGGAGTGCGTTATTCATCCCTCGTAATCGACGTTATAAATGTTTCAGGCAAACCATTGTTAAACTGGCTACGTAATACGCGTTTATTACTGGGCCGGATTTCTTTTATTACGGTAGAGTAAGTACCAATTTGAAAATTGTCCTTACCTACTGCCTACTGGTGCCTGCGTGAGACGCGTGCTATCCTTGGTCGCCATATGACCCTCGGTAGCACCGTACACGTTGTTCCCGACCCGTCATGTTCTCCATTTGTAGTCTCCGCTTTGCTTTGCGTGCCATGCTCATTCCATTTCAGCACCACGATGTACAGATATTGCTCCGACGCGAGAGGTTAGCGATCTCGTGACGTGTCAAGTTAACACTCCATTCCATATGGTGGTCATCGTCTCAGCCACACTGGTCATTGACATGTCCGCACTTAACGCACATTTCTCCGTCGAACCCTCATTAATACTCACCTGTAGTTTCAAATGCATGCCTTATCAAGAAATTGCAACGTTACGAACACAATTTCGCCGCGCGACTTGTGAACGATCGGATTCTCGTGGAATCGAGACAAAAACTTTGATCTTGCTGTAAAAGAATCCAATAAAAAAAATATTCTATATATTGCGAAATTATCATTCCTTGTTAATCAGATCGCGTTAAAATACTTGCAACCTCTGCGATTATCGAGTCAATTGGAAAGGAATTTATCCTCGATGTAACTATCAATGTCTCGCTAGGTGATAATCTATCCTTTTTTCCGTCATGTCGCGAAATTAAGACTATGGAGATATTCTCCTTGTCCACAACCTTGCTTTAATTCTTAAGCCATAAGAAATTGACCAACCACAGTTCATTATTTTTAAAATAATCGACTGTGGTTAGTCAATTTATTACAGCTTAAAGATTAAAGCAAGGTTGTGGACAAGAGGATTGTGTGATATACAATGAACTAAGAGTCTGTTTTCTATTGCTGAACTGGCTACACTAGTTCTCCCTCGTCTTTCTTCCATCAAGTTTTATTTGTATATTTATCTCTTTTTATTTTTATATCTCTTTATATCTATCTCTTTTAAGTTCTGAAAGTGTACACTAGTTCAGCAATAAAAAACAGACCCTAAATTTAGATAAAATTAAGTTAACTAGAGATGTGTTATATTGTGCATCCAAGAGCCTTAAGTTAACTTTACATCATTTCACTATCATGCATTCCCCCTATTTTTTGCATGCAATACAATGTTCTCTTTCATTTGGTAGAAGCTCCTACAATATGTAATTTGTATGTAATATATAATAAAAATATATATGAGCTGTTTTTATTTGTCTCTCTCTCTCTCTCTCTCTCTCTCTCTCTCTCTCTCTCTCTCTCTCTCTCTCGTAATAATGTTAATTATTATATATATATATATATATGTATATATAATATATATATATATATATATATATATATATATATATGTACTTATTTGTATATATTATATTCCATCTTTACTTTTGGTATTTATTCTGCTAGAAAGAAACGGAATATTTTCACCTGTATTATAGTGCTACTGTAAGGACTTGGCACGAAACAGGACAACCCCAAAATGCAGCAGCAGTCAGTAATGGAAGAGGGAACGGCCTATGAGCCACCTACTTATGATGAGACATTCCCTGTCCTCCCAGAATCAGCTAGCTCCAGCTCTGGACAATTAAACATATTTTCTATAAACAACAACTTACATCTTGGACGTATAAATATTACCCAGGTATGCTCAATTCTAATTTGTGCAAACTTGTAGAAATTTACAGTCTGTATTTGAAAATATTTTAAGATTTCTTCAGTATCACTTGTTTCATTAGTCTATTTTATATTCTATTTTTATATAGATGTTCCGTGTACCAGGAGAAGAGCGCAAGTTTGATCATAGTGATAAATTTGGAGAACGTGAATCTATTCGTACATGTAAAACTATTATGAAGGAGACAAATACTATTATCGAGATTGCATCTTCTAAAGATCAATCTCTGACATTTCTTATAACTGGGAAGCAAAATCAAGTTCTAGAAGCTAAACGACGCATTTTAACAACATTTCAAACCCAGGTGCTACCATTTATTATGCTACTATTGATATAGTATAAATGCTTGCTAAATATATATAACCTTAGAAAATACATAGTTTTATATCTGTTGTATCTATCTATACAACATAAAGCATCCTTATTGTCTGCAGATATATTCGATTATATTCTCGTTAATTTTTACAGTCTGGAAGAAAAATTATCACTATTCCGTATTTACAATTGTTTTTTATAGGCAAGTAAGCAGATTAGTATTCCCAAGGATCATCATCGTTGGATCCTTGGAAAGCAAGGGCAGAGATTGAAAGATTTGGAGCAGAAGACTGCTACAAAGATTAATGTCCCTGGTATGCAAGATCAATCAGACACAATAACGATTACAGGAACAAAAGAAGGCATTGAAAAAGCTGAACATGAAATTAGAGTTATCTCTGATGAACAGGTAAATTTTCAAGTGAATTATCTTTGTATCACAAGCAAATATCAATCACTTATCAATTTTTTTATTATAAATATCACTCGAATTATATTTGTATTATAAATATCACAGTCTAGGAAAGCTTTCGAAAGAATCACTGTGCCAAAAATATACCATCCATTTATTTATGGTGCGCATAATGAAAATCTCAATGCCATGATGGCAGAAACTGGTGCTCGCATCAATATCCCTCCTGCATCAGTGCAGCAAGATGAAATTACCATAGCTGGTGAGAAAGAAGGAGTTTTAGCTGCAAAGCAAAAGATTGAAGCCATTTACAAAGACATGGTATATTAATAAACTTATTTCTTTATGATGATTTGTGCATAAATAATATAACATATAATTTTTTTAATGTAGGAAAAAAGGTGTACTACCGTATCTGTAGAAGTCCCCAAATCTCAACATAAATATGTAATTGGACCTCGTGGCAGTACTATAGCAGAAATATTGCAAACAACTGGAGTGAGTGTTGAAATGCCTGCACCTGATTCAGCAACTGGTACTATAACTCTTAGAGGACCGCAAGAAAAACTTGGTCAAGGTAAACAATTTTAGAAAATTACACAAATATTAATTATTATTTAATCTATAAGTAATATCTGTAAGTATAATATGATGTTGTAGTTGAGTATTAAATGTAAATTTGTGCTTGCAGCTCTTAATAAAGTATATGAAAAGGCAAACAGTGTTCGTACTGCTGTGGTAGAAGCTCCAGTTTGGATACATAAATATATTATTGGACGCAAGGGTGTAAACATCAAGAGAATCACTCAGGAAATGCCAAAAGTAAATGTAGAGTTTACAGGCAAGGAAGATAAAATTAAGATAGAAGGCCCACCTGAGGAAGTAGAGAAAGCACAAAACGAATTGCAACTTATGGCTAGTGATCTTATAGCCAAGCTTACTTTCACAGAATTAAATGTCGATCCAAGATTCTATAAGCATATCATTGGTAAAAATGGTTGCAATGGTAAATAATCTAATTATTTTCAATATTTACTCCCTATCGTTATTCCTACTTTTTTAAATTAAAAACAGAAAATTTTTACATGAATTATTTATTTACTAGTCAACCGTGTTAAAGAAGGTACAGGTGTTGTGATTAATATTTCTGAGAATGATGGCAGCAATGTTATCCGTATTGAAGGCAATCTTGCTGGTGTATTAAAAGCTCAAACAGTATGTATTTATATTATTACATAATAACAATTATCATTTAAATGACTGATATCATCATCATCATCAATTTTATCTTGACAGATGCATAGTGATTATGTACGTCAATCCTCTATGGATTGTATAGCTTTTCCTTCACGCAATCCTTCCAACTGTCCCGGTCCTGCGCGGCTTTCACTGCCCTCTCTAAGTTGGAATCCAACAGCTTCTCCTTTTTACTAATATATCACTATTACTAATATATTAATATTTATATTTTATGAATAATTTAGGAACTTGTTGAAATGGTGAAGAAGCTTGAAAATGAGAAAGAAAAGGACGTGATTATAGATCACAGATATTACCGTAATATAATCGGTAACAAGGGAGATAATATTAAAGAGATTAGAGATAAATTTAATCAAGTACAAATTACTATACCTGGACCTGGTAAGTAATATTGAGTTTCATCATGTCACATACACACACACACACACTTTGCAATAATTTGCATTATCTTAATACTGCCAATGCTTTTTATCTATAAATTGACTGGATGTTTTTCTATGCAGGTGAAAAAGGAGATATAGTAAAGATTAGAGGACCCAAAGAAGATGTTGACAAGTGCCATAAGCATCTAATGAAACTGGTGAAAGAATTAAATGAAAGCAATCATGTGCTGGAAGTACCTATTTTTAAGCAATTTCATAAATTTGTTATTGGGAAAGGCGGTGTTAACATCCGTAAGGTTTGTATTAAACAGATTGTTAACAATTCATTTTTTATTCTTTTTATACGTATATGTGTTATATGATAGATAAGGGAAGAAACTCAAACAAAAATCGATTTGCCTGCTGAGGGTGAGAAGAGTGATGTTATAACTATCACTGGTAAAAAGGAAAATGTAGAGAAAGCTAAAGAAATGATACAAAAAATTCAAAATGAACTGGTAATTATTCACATATTTTATAACATATCTTTCAATGCTTAAGAAAAATGTATGTTTACATTCACATAATATATATTAGGCCAACATTGTTACCGATGAGATTACTATTCCACCAAAGTTTTACAATTCACTGATTGGTACTGGAGGTAAACTCATACATTCTATCATGGAAGATTGCGGTGGCGTCACTATCAAATTCCCTACAGCAGAAAGTAAAAGTGACAAGGTAAAAAAAAAAGAGAAAACTTGTGAATATTTTTCGGTCAAAGCCAAAATTTCGACTGACTTTCCATTAAATATATCCGCATTTATGTAGGTTAGTATCAGAGGTCCGAAAGACGACGTCGAGAAGGCAAAAGTGCAACTTATGGAACTAACTACTGAAAAGCAATTGTCCAGTTTCTCAGCCGAAGTCCGTGCCAAAGTTCAACATCACAAATTCCTCATTGGAAAGAATGGTGCTAATATCAAGAAGGTAAAATATATCGGAAAACATTGCGCTTTAAGATACTGTTTAATAAATAGATTTATAATGTAACCATTACTTTGCTCTAGATAAGAGAATCCACGGGCGCACGAATTATCTTCCCTACAGAGGAAGATCAAGATAAAGAAATCATCACAATTATAGGCAAGAAAGAAGCGGTTGAGAAGGCTAAAGCCGAGTTAGAAGCTACGATCAAAGAAATTGTACGAAAATTGCTGTTTTCAAGTAATATAAGTTAATCATAATTGAAATATCTTTTAATTGCATTTCTAGGACAACATTACCGAAGGTGAAATCCGCATTGATCCCAAGCATCATAGACATTTCGTAGCGCGAAGAGGTGGCGTACTGCATCGAATTGCTGATGAGTGTGGTGGTGTACAGATTTCATTCCCGCGGGCTGGCGTCGATAGCGATCGTGTTATTCTGAAAGGTTCGCACGAATGCATAGAAGCTGCGAAACAACGAATGCGAGAGATTGTTCAGGAATTGGTAAATGTCTTATGAACACGGAATATATCTATCTTTACTCGATATATTATTATAATACGTTGTATTCTTAATCAAGGAATCGATGGTGACGGTGGAGTGTATAATACCGCAGAAACACCATCGCACGGTGATGGGTGCCAAGGGACGCAAAGTGCAAAGCATAACATCCGAATATGAGGTGCAAGTCAAATTTCCCGATCGTGATGTGTACGGTTAGTATCGAGTTTCGCCATTCTAGTGCGCTGATTAATCTAATAAAAAATCACCTTGCTCATTTTCATTGAGTGTAAGCAACGATTATTTGTACGTTACTGTTCTAGACGAGCAAAAAACACCGGATCAAATTAATGGCGAAAACAGAGAAGCTGGAGAAACAGTCCCAGCTTGCGATATAATTCGCATTACTGGACAACCAGAGAACGTTGCTGCTGCCAAGCAAGCTTTACTTGATCTCGTGCCTGTTACGATTCAAGTCAGTTCATACACAGCCAATGCTCTCTGTCACATTAAACTATTCTCGCAACTATAAAACTGATCTCAAGAAAAATCCTCCTTTTTTCCTGCTTCTAGGTAGACGTACCATTTGATTTCCATCGCTCGATAATCGGGCAGAAAGGTAAAGATGTGCGAGAGTTGATGAATACGTACGATGTACACATTATGCTCTCTCCGGCGGAAGAAAAACTGGACTACATCAAAGTAATTTATATTACATTAACTATTAGTCTTGAAATACATTATTTCTCACTTGTTGTTTCTCTTTCTTTAATTCGCTTAGATCTCTGGAACACCGTCGTGTGTTCAAAGTGCGAAGGAAGCTATTCTTGAAAAATGTGAAGCATTGAAGGCCGAACGACAAGATCGAGCATTAAAGTCATTTGAACTGAAGGTAAGTTTATCATATATATGATATTTTAGAGCTTTTTTTTCTTAAGATCTCTGTCGGAGTATTATCCGTGTGAATTTAATAATTACGTTATTTGTTATTCGCGATGTAGCTCGAAGTCGATCCAGAGTATCACCCGAAAATAATCGGCCGAAAGGGAACCGTAATCAGCAAAATACGAAGTGATCATGATGTCCAAATTAATTTCCCGCGCAAGGGTGATCTCGAAGAGCATATTATCACGATAACAGGGTACGAAAAGAATGCATATAACGCACGGGACGATATCATGAAGATCGTTAACGAATTGGTAAGCTAGCTGTTATTACAATATAAAATCTTTACTAGAAATGCCATCTGTTTACCTAATTGTTCCATATTACAATTTGTGATTTTCTCTTGTTTTCTTTAGAACGGTTTGACGAAGGAAGAAGTGCACATAAACGCTGCCGTGCATTCGCGATTGATCGGTGCGAAAGGTAGAAATATCCGCAAGATAATGGATGAATTTAAAGTTGACATAAAGTTTCCGAGAAAAACTGATGTCGATCCCAATGTTGTGACGATCGTGGGAGCGGAGGAGAACGTAGCCGATGCCAAGGATCGTTTGCTGAATCTAGAGGAGGAGTATGTAAGTGTCGTTCACTTAACCGTTTGTAAAGCGGGGTCTACAATGAGAACTAAGCCGTAAGAAATTGACTAATCACCAAATATAAGGAAAATAATCGACTGTGATTGGTCAATTTTCGTACGGCTTAAGTTCTCATTGTAGACCCCGCTTAACACGAGTAGAAACTAATCTACAGGCCGATTTATGATAGCCGTAAAGCGGGGTCTACAAGGAGAACTTAAGCCGTAAAACTTAAGCTTCAAATCTGAAGCCGTAAGAAATTAACCAATCAGTCGATTATTTTCCTTTTGATGGTGATTGGTCAATTTCTTATGGCTTCAGACTTAAGTTTTATGGCTTAAGTTTTCATTGTAAAGCTTTACGATTACAAGTGATAAAAAATATATTTGTAACCGAGCAGATGCAAGATGTGGTGGAGAACGAGTACCGCGAAAGTTTGCGCTCGCCTCAGCGTGACGACGGGATGGTCGGTGGCGGTGAGAACGACGCCGGCTTCATTGTAAAAGGAGGACCATGGGAGCAGCAACAGCAGCCTCAAAGCGCACCGAACACAGCTAGCGTGGAGGAATTCCCTCAGTTTGCCGGTTACTCTCACGTACCTATTGCTACTCCGGAGGGTCCGTGGGGAGTTAAGCGTTAAAATGTAGATCTAAATCCGTTAGAAAAAGTCGATGGAACGAATCGATGGTTAAACTAACGATATAAAATAACTTTCCTCTGACAAACGATATATAAAACGCTACATACGCATGAACATACACACATACGGATGCACACACACACACACGTACACATACAACTCATACATGCATACGCACTTGTGTTGGGTGGTTCCCTGTTCCATTACTGACGTTGCTGCATACGACCTGGCCACTCTATTGGACTCTGACACTGGTTTACTACACAACGTTTGACAATGATGTTCATATTTACAATCCATAATACCGATGTCCTATGTATCTGTAACTGCAACGCATGTTCCAAGTTCATCGCCATGTCCCTGCGACCAATGGGTCGCGCGTGATTCTCGTGCACTCTCGACTCGATCTCGTGGCTTTTATCTCTGTCGATATGCCTTCCAGGTACAGATATGTTGTACTTAAGACTGTGGCTTCGTGGGAAATAATCGGAACGCTTTCTGCAGAAAAGGACCAAACCCACAAAAATCGCAAAATAAAGCCGACCGCATGTTCTTTGTCGTAAAATGCAAATTGACTGTATTCCTTATATTCTCAATTTGTCTTCTACAATAAGGGGTGAATTTGTATGCGTTGGTTTCTTTCCTGCAGAATCCAACCAATTTATTCGTGTATTATATATACTTTCACAGATAATCTCTGTCCCGCGTATAGACTGCAAACGGTCATACGTATTTCGTTGGACTTAGCATAATAATTTGTTAATTTATTTATATCTTTTTGTACATATATCGCATTTTCTCGTTGCGTTGTGCCACTAGTGAGAGGTGGTTTTCAAAACTACATCACGATTGTTGAAATTTGTACTGTAAAATCTTCGCGAATCAAAAAAAGAAAGGAAAGAAGGGATAAAAACAACGTAGAGGCTTTCTAAGAAGAAGTTTGTTCCTAGAATTTAACGTAACTTTTTATTACGTTAACTAGAGTTATTCTACGCACTCAGTTTACGTCTCTAAAGGTTCAGTGTGACGTAAGTGAGAAATCTGTCGGCGTATCAAACGCATATTCATCATCGAGTGACAGATTTGCAATCGGGGATTGAAATCTATATAATTTCTGTGAGCGAGATGAATTTTCAATGCTCGGTAGAGATGAGAAGATGTATCTTGTATTGCTTGCCGTAAATTTTCATTGTTGCGAACAAACACTAGAGATCGTTCTCTCGTTCATCTTTAGCATCGTAATTTGAGCTGACCGAAATTATACTATTTTTAATCCTTCCCTGCAATCATCAGTTGTATGTATCAGCAAGGAACGCAATATTTAGGAGGCCTTGATACTTCCGCGCCGTTTAAGACTCACTAAGCATTATAAGAAGATCGGCACTGTGCAGAGAATCGTGAAATTATCTCGGTGTTACACGAGTAGTGAACGATACACGAATTCCTTTCGATAGCCGGCTTTATTTATTTGTCCTGTTTTACAATTTCGTATAAAGTTTTAATGTGCAAATCCTTACACATTCTACTGTTTATGAGGCCAACTAGCTAAGAAAAAGATATTCAGTTCAAGTGCCTTGTCTATTTTCTTCGAGACAGCTCATTTCAATTGTTGGAGGAATGTGAATAATTATACATATAAATAAATTATCCGGGATATCCAAGAATTAACAGTTGATATTTTTAGGATGGATTCTTCAACAAGATCAAAGCTCTCTTTTTCATTCTAGCAGAAATATCAGAGGTCGTTTCTGTGTTGAAGTTGTCCATATTTCGATATTAAATGCTTTGTGATAAACAAATCTTGAAATGGTCTTTTTAGAGTTTGTCTTGACATTTTAGAAATTTTTTTCCTGAAGAATCTTATATTTTTAATATGTTTCGAAGTTTGATAGCGTTTATTAATACTTTGATATTTTTGTTGTAGCAGTAATCTATTTCAAATTGAGAGAAAATTACCCGTCCTTAGAATATCATCTGATAGTTTTAGTACATCCTGTATATATACACATCACATGTAAACACATATATGAATACAGATAATAACTATTCTATACAATTAATATATGTAATAGGTAATATACATAGAGGTACCTTGGGTACACAATGATATATATACTATATTGCGATTTAAATAATAGGAGATTATCATGTATACAGAAATTCACTTATATTTTTTAGATTTACAGTAATTTTTATAAATCTACTTGGTACGGCGACCTATGTGTCATCTCCAATGCATGGTAAATATAAGAGAGCCAGAATTAGTAAATTTTAATATGCTTAGTTTTGGCTAAGAATTTGATAGATGCTGTGCATGAATATAATTTTCTAATGAGTTATAACATATATAATAAGATACATTGTAATTATATAAAACAATATTCTCTGTACACATAAGTAAATAATGTTATAACACGTGGATTCTATTGTAACAATATATTACATCATTGATCCATTTGTTCACTCTACTTTTTCATGTGTTATCTCTCTTTTACCTTTCCATTTAAACAACTCAAGTAATATGAAAGATGTGGCGTCAGCGACCGCAAATGTGTTCAAGTAAATAAATAATTTGCCATATTTCAAAATATTATAATTTACTGAAAGAAATATTTTCAATACTTTGCAATTGTTTTACAAATCCATCGTTAGGCTTAATGCAACTTCTCGCTTTTTTTACTTTATCATAAGCCTCCTTATACGACAGTTCCATCATAATCATTAAATAAGCAATAATGATTGTGGGAGAACGAGAAACACCAGCATTGCAATGTACAAGAATATTTTCTCTGCGATTCGCATGTATAATATCAACACATTTCTTCATCGACAACATTATATTTGATTCCGGTAAGTCTAACAAGTCACAGTTATAATACCGAATATCATCGAATTTTTCAGATATGTTAACACCTATACTCAAAATATGTCCTATTTCGTACTTGTTTAATATATCACTACAAACCACTGGATCTTGAGAGCTGAGATATAATCCCGGTATTATATTGGCAACATGTAAATCAGGTTTCTCATCTACTACAAATGGCAGTCCTTTTTCAAGTTTTTTTACTTGACCGTGTTCAATCTCACATTTGTTGCCAAGCGAGTCCGTTATCACTGTTTTGCAAGGCTTCAGTGCCGATCTCTTTCTCGCGATAAGATCTTGTAAATCCATCATACAAAGATCAATGATTATTTACTTTTAAAATATAATTACATCTGAGACCATGTGATGACTTTTAGTCATTGCATGAAATCATTCCAAAATAATAATTCTCACATTTGCATGTTATATCGTTCGTTATATAAAAAAATTAAGTATTATTTTTCAACTATTCCAATATTGATGGTTCTATAAACAGATTCTTTCCTTTATTTTGCTAGTTCTTGCTTTTGTTCTTCCAACTGCAGTTTCTGCAGCTCTTGTTTTTCCAACAGCGGATATCGGCTTAGTCCTTCTAATCGTGTTTTCTGATATTGTTCTTCTGATATAGTACAACGTTTTAATTCCTCTTGATCGTACTCTAAATTCACAAGATGTAAGCCATTCGATGGTACAAGTCCAACACGAGGATTCCAATTATAATGTGAAGGGGTTTCAAACATAACAGTGATATCCTTTTCTGTTATTTTTTGCTGTCCTAAAGCAATTAGAGCACCAACCATTCGTCTCACCTACATGGAATAACAACAATGAGAAACGTACTTAGTGTTCTTATTTATATATATTTTTTATCATGATGTTACCTGATTATATAAGAAGGATTTTGCTTTACATATGAACTGAAAATATCTAAAATTTTCGGATAACGGATCAAAAGGTACTAAAGATTGTGTCTCTTCTAAAGTAAAGATATGCAAGGAACGAACATATTGAATCTTTTTAATTGTTATCGTTTTTGAAGAAAATGTAGTAAAATCTTTTACTCCCATAAACAATTTCGTACCATGTTTTACTCTATCTATATCAAAATTATGTTCTCTGAAAGACATATTACAGCTGATTAAACATAGCAACTTTTGTTTGAAAAATTTTGTAATGTATTCTGTATCCAGTAGAAGAGTTTGTCTTCTAGTAATTGTCAGGAGATATGTTTAACTATCAGAATGCATTGCAAAATTCATCAAGAAAAAATATTGCTACCACTTATTGTACAATAATATAGTGCTTTTTGTTTCTTAATATAATTACCTCAAAAAGTGAGTATGTGGCATATCTACTAAGGGTAATCTCTGTTCTTCAGGTACTTTAGGTATCATAAATCTATATATATAAGTTCGGGATAAACATGATCTCCTTGCATGAAAATCACATGTGATAGGTATAAAATCCAACAACCTAAAATATAGTTTTGTCCAACAAACTATCAATAGATCAATATCAAACAGATACATAAGAATAAACATAATAATATTTAAGTATATGCCTCTTAAAATTATTACCTGATAGTATGACCACTTTTGGTAAAATAACGATTAACATATTTTTTCACATTATTTGCATTATATAAAATATTGTATCTGTTTTCAAGCTCCACATGACAAGTAGAGCATAAAGCATGGACTCCAGCATCTGTTCTGCAAATTTATACTACATGATGTAAAATTTGTAAGAATAATTCATAAAATTAATGTCATGAGTTTATAAATCAATTTTGTATCTCTTGCTGACTCTAAACTAAGCTTTAAAATTACTTTAAATTTTTAGAAATCTTATTAATGTTTATAGAGACAATTTTCTTTTATCGATATTTCTTATTAATGTAAAAAATGTTAAAAATATAATAGAATTTAAAGCACACTCATTATATTCAACAAAACATTCTTCTTTTGTTAATGAATAAGATATTGTAAATTTCTCTTAACTATTAAATACTACAGTTATATTAGATGTTATTAAATACTCATAGAATATAGAAAATTATATAAAATGTAAGAAAAATAGAAAAAAACTATATATATATATATATATATACCTGCTGGCAAGTATTATATTTGGTCTAATTATAGTTTTCGGTGAAATAGTTAATAGAGCAGATTCTAAGGCACCTTGTACAGTATCACTATTTCGTATGTTTGGTGCAAAAACTTGCTTTTGTGTACCTCTTTACATCAATAGCGTGTTGCGTGATAAGAACAAAAGAAAATATCGTTTTAAGTACAAAAATCGTATACACAAAGTATACTAAAATACTAATATTTTATATATGTTGTACCTGTACTGTGTACCAATGTACGAAAATCTAAGGAAATATCGTACCATGATTGTATCTTACGTACAGATGTAAAATTGATACAGCCTCATTACACACTAATCATCAAAGTTTTGTCAAATTCTATCAAAAGTTTGATAATTCTATAATCTGACGAATAAAATATTCATTATATTGGTTCGAATTGGTCTGTTATGAGACAGAAGCGTCTTTTTAATATTTAACATATACCGATACAACCATTATTAGTTACGCGTGTAAGCAATTTCAAATATTCATATAACATTTGAGTAATTACGACAATCGATGATTATAACCTGCAATATATTTACCACGTGAGTATCTTTACATCTCATATCGTAATTATTAGAGTTAATGGCTTAGTTTACATCGTGCACTTGATATGCGTATTAAATAGTAACTTTCTATTAGATAATCTTAATATGGACGATATATATAAACAACGGTATATTAAGCTAGTATAATACTCATCAACAAAATGTATTGATGGAATATATCGCTATTGATATGCATTGTCGATATTAATAGCGTGTTCGACTGTCCCTGGGTTAATCGCTCCGAGAGCGATTAATGACGTCATAAGTCAATCACGTCTCTACTAGTCAATCATAAAGCTTATAAGTACTTGTTCGACCAATAAACGTAGACTGAATAAACCAGAGTGGGTTAACCCAAAGCCAGTCGAACATGCTGTAAGATTCGATTATGGCTGCGTTCCGAAATTCACTGCCAGTACTGAAAATCTATAGTTCATGTTACGTATACTATAGAATTCCAGTACTTTCAGTGAATTTCGGAACGTAACCTATGGCTGCGTTCAATAAGGAAAGCTGCTTTGCAACTGTTGTAAAATTTGTGAATCTGATTGGAATATGCTCTTAATTTTGGTCGAATCCAAGAGCATGTACCAATCAGATTCACGAATTTTACACAGTTACAATGCAGCTTTCTCTGCTGAACGCAGCCTATGAATACCGTCCGTAGGCCGATATTCATAGGCTGCGTTCCGAAATTCACTGCCAGTACTGAAATTCTATAGTATATGTAACATGAACTATAGATTTTTAGTACTGGCAGTGAATTTCGGAACGCAGCCATAGTCAAATCTTATATTTAAGACCGTCTTAAGTTTATCTTCAGGTAATGAACGGATCATTTCATTGGCTACGGAGTATCTGAAGATGAACTTAAGCCAACCTTAAAAATAAAATCCGAGTATGAATACCGGTCATAGAGAGAAAGAGAGAGAGAGAGTTTGTCGCATGTCCCAACGTACTTCTACTCGCTCCAACGCACTCTGATTGGTCCGTGTGGCGACGTAACCAATCAGAGTGCGTTAGAGCGAGTAGGAGCACGTTGGGGCATGCGACGCGAACAAACCCAGAGAGAGAGAAAGAGATCCGCTTGTCGTAAACACCCGTGATGTTCTTTGCTGGAAAACGGTCTTTTTCATCTTTCTCATGTTTCAAATCGCAAACTTTTCATAAAATGTGATTCTATATTTCCTGAATAAAAATGTTTATTTAAGTAATAAGTATATAAAAGAGAAGAGGAAGAAATATATTTCAAATACGAAGTGCATTGTGAAAGTAAGATATAGGATATATTTTTATTTACACGTGTTTTGTAAGATATGAAATGAGTTATGTTACACAAAATTCCTCACAACTTCGTTTTTTGTAATAAAATAGGATAAACGTTAAGAACAATGTCATCGCAAAAAACGAAAGATTTTCTTATGGCATATGATATACATGAAGAATTGAATTGTTTAGGCGTAACTGAAAACGCAATTCATTCAGGAAAGGTATCACTTATTAGTAAATTGTATACATTCCGATTATATCTTTGTATAAAAAACTTATGATGTAGAAGATATGGTTGTTTTATATTTACTAATATTTTCTTTATATGAATTGAAAAAATCTTATTCCTAGGAAAATTATAAGCCACAGACATTGATTGATCGTACGTTGGAATTGATAGATCCTACTCCTAACATTTACACATTATTTGTACAATTCAATGCACGCTTTTTCTGGAATGTTTTGTGTCCTGTTGAAGTCAAATGGAGTAATAAGATGACAAGGTACATATTATTCAGTATAACATGTGTTATATATATGTGTATATGTATATATATTTATATATATATATATATATATATATATATATATATATATAAAAGATTGTTTATATAACATAAAGAGAAAGAGATAATAAATAATATTTATAGTTGTGCTGGAGTTTGTAGCTTTTATAAGAAGCAATGTGTGATAGCACTCAGTGCCCCATTACTTAAACTTAGACCAAGGAAAGATCTTGTAGAAACTTTACTGGTGAGACTTTTATTTTCTAAATACTTAAAAACAAAAAATTGTATCTTAAATATATAATATTAAAAAGATGTTAAATATACTTTATTTTAAATTGCAGCATGAAATGATCCATGCATACTTGTTTTTAACAAATAACAATCGTGATAGAGATGGCCATGGACCTAATTTTTGTAAACATATGTACAGGATAAATAAAGAAGCAGGAACTAATATAACGGTCAGTAATGAGAGTAATTCATTTATTGTAATACTTAAGATATATTATTTGCAATAAGAATTTTACTTGATTTATCTTTTTTATCTACAATATTTGATTTGATTGTGTGATGTGTTTCATTAAACAAATATAGATTTACCACAACTTTCATAATGAAGTGAGACTGTACCAGCAACATTGGTGGAAATGTAATGGACCCTGCCAATACAGACCGCCATTTTTTGGAATGATACGAAGAGCTATGAATCGTGCGCCTGGACCATCAGATTACTGGTGGCTTGAACATAAACTAAATTGCAGTGGTCAGTTCATAAAGATAAAAGAGCCAGAAAATTATAAATCAAAACAAAAGGATAAGTCAAATTCAATCTCAAAGAATATTAAGACAGACAAATCTATTGCCAATTGGTTCACAAAGGACACTCCAACAAAAACTAAACCTACATCTACATCTTCACATTCGAAAACACTTACTTATACCAGTAATAAAACAGTCACTCAAACACTTGTTCAAACAAACCGAAATAAAACTATTGGTAACAAAAATAATAATATGACAAATTTGTCTCACATTCAAATCAAGAAAAATGATCAAGATTTGCCACTAGATGTGAAAAAACTTGGCAGCACTAGCAATAATGTACATGGCTGGGGTATTAGCGGTCCAAGTGAAAAAGTAGAAAAAGATAATACAAGAAATATAAAGAATTCCATGTTTTCTTGTTCTGGCATTTTAGGAGGTAATAACAGTGGTCAGAGTAGCCTCTTAACAAAATTTTTGCATATAAGTGACAGTAAAACTCATCTGTCAAGTGAATTGACTAAGAAGGATTTATCATCAAAGTTATCAGAAAAGAAGCTTATTAATAAACCAGTTTCAAATTTAAATCAATCAAAGAATAAAATAAGAAAAAAGACTGATAGTCAATGTAACACAAAATTTACATCATTGATTGATAAACTTAATAATAGTAGCAATGAAAAGTTAACATCGCCTATTCGAACATTTCTCACATCATTAGAAAAACAAACTACCAATACAGATTCTAATAAACGTTCAAAGTTGGATGATTCAAGTGACACTAAATACGTAAGCTGCCCTGTTTGTAACAAAATGTTGCCATCAGCAGATGTTAATCAGCATCTTGATAAATGTCTTTTAGAAAACGATACGTTTCATAAAACTCGCGTTCCTTCCAATTCTCATGCATCTAATGATAATATAATCAATATAAGTAGTTCTTCCAATTCCGATTTGGATAATTCTGTCATTGAAAGTCCAAAAGCACAAGTCAATATTAGTGAAAGTGAAAGCAATACGAAAAATTGCGAGCAGACATGTTTAGTTTGCAACGTGCAAATTGGATCTGAAGTATCCCTAAATGAACACCTAGATGAATGCATGGGAGCTGTTTTTAATGATACAATCATAATAGATGATGAAAATGATGATAACATATCTCCTGCAGGAAACAACTCCATTGAAAATAAATATCCCTGTCCAGTGTGTATGCAAATGATATCAGAAAATCTTATGAATGAACATTTAGATATGTGTCTTGAAGATAAGTATTTTATGCATTAAAGAGTAACAGTTATATTTTTAGATATAAGATCTGTAACATTTTGTTAAAAAAAAGTCAATAATATTTGTAACGTTCTTTCGAGTAGTATGGAGAATATATAAATGACATAGTTTCAAACAATCTTGATTATTATTTTGATACATTTTAATTTATTTTAAGTAAAATAAAAATTCCAAATATATATATTTTTTTATACAATGAACACTATTACACTGTTAAATGAAGCATGATTATGTTTAGTTTAAATATCAATATTGTTTATTTAATATGTATGCGTAGTATATTATGTTATTACGATGTAGTAAAATTATTTAATAAATAAGTCATACACTATTTTATTTGTTTTCTATCTATATTAAATTCTTAATAATCTATATATTAAATTCTTAATCTTATATTTTTTAACAAACAAATATAGACAAAGATATCGAAAAATCTCTGAAGCTATAATCAAAAATATGTTTAAAAAATAGCTTTACATAATAGCTTTGTTTATTATTCGCTAAAACTTACAATTTATCATATGATAAAATATAATAGGAATATAATAGAGATATAATAGCTCAAATGTTTGGGTTATATTATTTAATATATATATATATATATATATATATATATATATA